GTGCAGAGGAGGTGCGGGGAGTGTAAGAGCATGCACTTACCTGTGGCTCAGGTTTGCTGAAGGTCAGGCCTGGGTAGCTGTAATTTTTTTGGCTGCCACTAATCCACGTCTAAATCCACTTTATTTTTATAGCACATTTTACAAATAAGGCAGTTTCCAAAGAGATCATAAAATGAAGACAATAAAAAGGTAAATTGCTAAAATTTGGTCATACCAGTCCTAAAACAATAAAATTAGTAAAATCAAATAAAAGTAAAAACCATAAAATCATAAAATTGCAGTAAATAAGTAAAATAGATAAAATAAAGAGAATAAAGTAAGTAAATTAAAGTCACAGAGGCCCACACAACTCACGTGGTGTTAAAAGCCAGAGAATCAAATTGGGTTTTAAGATGAGAGTTAAAACACTCCACTGTGGGGACTGTTCGGATGTGGGGTGGCAAAGCGTTCCAGTGTTTGGGGCCAGTCACAGAGAAGGTCCTGTCCCCTGATTTTAAGTCTCATCTTAGGCCCCACAAACTGGAGCTGGCCTTTGGACCTTAGCGTGAGCGCGGGGGTGTAAATCTGGAGGAGGTCCAAGATGTAACGTGGGACCAGTCCATGCAAAGCTTTAAAAACAAACAATAAAATCTTAAAATCAACTCTAAAATGAACTGGAAGTGAGTGCAACAAGGCTAAAATTGCGGTAATGTGCTCATGTTTTTTGGTTTCAGTAAAAAGTTGAATCAAAAGAAACAGAAAAGGCATACCAAAATTTTTGTAGAGTTGCAAATGCAAAGAGCAGCAAGACAAAAGTGAAAAAAAAAACCCCAGCACACTCAGATAGCCGAAGGCCAAAAGCTTTTTTTTTTTAAATAACGTTTCGGCAAAAAAAGCCTTCATCAGATTTTTTTTTTGCTTTGGACCAGAGCACACAGTGTAGAATTTTTGTCCAGTTAAAAGTTGCCCAGGAGAATTTTGGACCAACTGTAAGCGAGAAAGTGCATAGTGGCTAAAGCCGGACAAAAGTGCATTACAGTTGTGTAAACGAGAGGAGATAAAAACATGTGTGGCCTGTTCAAATGATTTTAAAAGATAAAAAAGGTTTAATTTTAGATAAAAACCATAAATGATAAAAGCCACATTTTACAACCACATTTACTTGTTTGTTAAATTTAAAATTACTGTCCATAATGACGCCAAGGCTGGTGACAGACTGTTTCACGTGTGGTTTCAGTGGGCTACTTATCTATACTTATCTTTAGTCCAACTGGTTCCATCCAGCCTCTTTGCTGTGCTGTGATAGCTGTTTGTCTGTTAATAAATGTACAAAAACACATTCTGGATCTCAGCGTATCAGTGTTACAAAGCTACGACCCCAGAACCCTCTCTGCTCTGATCTTCCCGAGCTTCTTTAAGGTTGGTTTAGGAAGCCACTACGTATTTGCACTTCTTAAAAAACTTTTCCCCAGTTGACAGGATTCAATTTTCCATCATACCTTTTTGCACAGAAATATGTTTAAGAGGATTCATTACAGTGGATAACACATTTTGGACGGTATAATGCAAAAGTTTATACACATTGCAACACAAACATATTCTGCTAGTGCTCATTAAAAGACTTAGACTTAGACTTGGACAGTAGTGAAACATATTCATATTCATGTAGACATTTTGACTTGACGAGGATAGGGAGAGCATACGTCAAGGTTTGAAGGGGTGACGAGCAATGAGAATGGCTTATTTTCTTCTAATATGGGAGGGAGAGTGTGTGAGAGTGTGTGTGTGCATGAGTAAGTGAGTAATAACAGAAGAGATGTAAGACAGTAAAGGTGGGAGGGAAACAAAATAAACAATAAAAAAAGTAAAAAAATAAATATTCTTGTTTATTAATCTTTTTTTTTCTCCATTTCCTTTCCTTCCTCTTTTCCTTTCCCTGTTCCTTTTTCTTCCTCTCCTCTCCTTTCATTACCCCTTTGTTCCTTTGTTAATTATTTATTATTTATTTATTTACAGGGTTCCCACAGTGTCTTGAAAAGTCTTAAAAGCATGAATTGAATTTATGAATTTAGAAATAATACCCTAATAACACTTGAAAAAGTCTAGAATTTTTATATCTGGGTCTTAAAAATTGCGCAGTACGTAACTTCTCCATGTCGCATTTCTCCTAAGAAGTTTAATTTGTCAACCACCATTATTTGGTTAAATAACCTGTAACCTAAAAAGTGACGGAACCAATAATTTCGAACTCAATGCAGCCCCGGGTCAAAATTTTCTGAACCCGTCACTGAAGATCACGCGCTACAGCAACACAAGCAGCAAGCGAAGTAGAAGCGTGTAAAATCAAAGAAAGTCTGACCAGAACTCAGTTTGACTAATGCCATTATTATTTTTTTTTTTATTGTTGGTTTTATGTTACATCTTTCTACTCCCAATATTCCTGTGTTTGAGGAATAAATTAACACAAATTCAAGTTCTTTTTTTTTTCTTTGCCCCTATGTTGATGAAATAGGCCGTGAAA